GAATTTACTCAAATTGTATACAAAATACAACTAATGTTTTGGATAAATTTTATTGTTCGGTATTATTGCAATAGTGGTATAGATTTTTTTTTTCTAATAGATCATTAGGTTCAAATAAATGCGGAAGTATTTGGATCGGATATATTTATAGGAAATACAGCGAGAGGAAAAAAAGCGTAGGGGGTGATGAAAAGAAAGGAAAAACAGCGTGCGAAAAAGTCCGATTATTAGGTATTAGTATTGATGTGCGATGTGCTCTCCCCAAAAATCTGGAAACGAGCTCGCTCGGATGCGAATGCGAGCCAGAGTGCAACAATAACACTAACGTCATTACCAAAAAATATATCACCGTTCCAATTGTCCGCACTTACGCCGATAGGGGATTGAAATGTAACAATAAAACAGTTAATAGACGAGGTGTCATGTGCCCGGAGGCGAGCCGCGGGGGGGCGCTACGGTTCCAGAGGGGTGTCAGCCCCCCTCAGATATGGCTAATTTGAACCGCGGGTAGCCAAAGGACGAAGGACTAAGTGTGACGATTCCCTTTGTCGCACACACTCGGCTTTTTATACTCGTATACACATACACACACATCACCTATACACTCATATATATATGTGTATATGCTATGACATCAGATCGTTCGATTTGAATGGCAGCTGCTGGCCCCGGGAATTGCGGATTAAAACGGCCACTATGAAACGGATTAACAGATTCATCCAGAAAACAATACAATTCTGCTGCTTGCTGCACAGTCACACTTCTATCCTTTTTTTTACTACTCTAGTTCGCTTTCACCATTTGTCCGTATTCAATCCAATTTTGCACATCACAAGTCACTTACCGAAAGAAAATATATTCATGAATATGTTTTGAAATTAATTAAATTTAAATAAATTGAACAACTGTCCAATCTGTATTGAATAAATTATCAAGTATATACACGTTTTTTTATTAAATGGAAGTAAATAATTTTTCTATAATACATATGTATAATATAATAAATGCGGTATATTCAAGATTTCTGTAAATATCTGTAAAATCTATTATTGTCAATTACCAAAAATTACTAATTTCTTAAAAGTAATGTTAACAAAGTATAAATTATGCTGTATTTTATTCTTGTTTGAAATATTATTTATTTAACATATTTTTTTTACCATAATTATGACCAAAATGCTATCGACCAAAGTCTTTCCAGGAATAGATTAAATAATATATTTTTTAAATTAATTATTTAAATAAATAAATTGAAATTGTAATTAATAAAAGCATTAAAAACGTCAATATCTATCAAGACACATTCTTAAAATCCATTAAATTTATGCATTTGTAAAGAATAAACATAATTTATAACATTTATTTGAATAACCTACTTTTTACTGTACATGTAATTTGAATGGCAGAAATATTTATAATTTGAATATGATTTTTTTTATATTATTTCAATCTACCAACATATTAATTATGTTATATTTACTAAAAAAAAACTGGGTTTCAATTTATGAGCGTTGAAAATGTGTTATGATAATATTTTCCCTAAATATGTTATTTTTATGTTAAGAGACAGATGAAATTAAGGGATAATAATGAGACAGTTTCGCACGGTCCCGGGTATATATTTCTTTTTTTCCTGGTTATTTGTTCGTTGCCACCGGCCAAATTGGCCTGTCGCGGAGCCAATAAAACGAGACACATTGGGAATTTATTGTCCGCTTATTATTTCCCACATATTAGTCCTTTATACGTATTTTTTCGGGTCTTTCCCCCTTATATTAGAGGCAATACAGAAATTTTGGGAAAATCACCAAAATATTAACTAATAATGGACCCTCGATTCTTTCATTTTCTTTTCCTACATGCAGGCAATTATAACGTTATATTATTATTTCTATAAAAAATGATATGAATTAAACTATAGTTGCATTCGCCTATAAAGTCAACGATACTTTTACTTTTTTTGTTGAAAATGACATGAATTAAAGTATTATATGTTTTATTGGTTTCGGCAAAAGGTGGTCCATTAGTAGAAAATTGTAAGGTATTAAGTAAATTAAATTAGCGAGAGTGCTGGGTTATTATGATAATTCAAATTACATTCCATTTCGTAAAAGATATAATTATTATATACTTTTTTTTTTAAAAGAAATATTGCCAAATGTAGGGTTTAAGTAAAGATGTATCTATTGCCATTACATTATTGGGACAAAAGTCGATTGCTATAATTAAGGTAATTATTGGAGGTTGCTTGAAACCTGTTTTTTTTTAGAAAATTTCGGGGCAAATTTGTAACTGTAATTTTAGTAAATAAAGATATATTCGTACTTTTTGCATGTATTTTAGTATAGATATATAATAATGAAATTTTATCCAATTGAATTGATAATAATAATTAACAAAATGCGAAGGACTATTTTCCAATTGAATTATTTACGATTATTATATTCAGACTATAATTTTCACTTTTAGGAAAAAAAAACTAATATCGTAGATTTAAATTAAACTGTAAAATAGGACTTTTCGATAAGAAAAAAATAAAAAGTTATAAATTAATTTATTGGTATATGTATTTTTTTATAATTTCAATTTTACAAATTCATTAGATAATTTGTAATTTATTAAAATGTTGGATACCAAATATTTTAAAATAAAGCAGTTTTTAAATATTGTTTATAAAATTACTATTTATAGAGATATTTTTGGGGGTAGGTGGTTTCTGTTATTTAAGTAAATAAAGTTTTTCTTCCCTCTTCTAATGTTTATTTTGGTAACGGAGCTGCCGTGTTTTGGGAAGTGTATATATATTGTGGGGGTGGTTTCCTTTCCTATTTGTTTTCTTTGTTTTTTTTTTGTTGGGCAAAGGTGGTTGTTCTAGTAAGTAGCTTTGAAGCGAAACGTATACACACAGCCGCGCAGTGAATGTGGATGGATGAAAAAAAAACAGTTCATTCACTTTCTTTCCCCCCTATTGAATAATTCATATATCGATCCACGTTAGTCTGACCTTTCCCTCATATTAAGTAGTTTTAGGAGATATGCCCAAGGTCAGCGCGCGAACGAGTTTGTAGTCGCAGTGGTAGTCGCAGCAGCAGTAGTCTTGATGCCGGGGACTCCATTAGCGGATATTAGGGGGTGGCGTCGACGAATAACGATCCGGGACGAGGGACGCGCGTCACCTGGACGACGGCGTCGGGGGGTGGAGAGCCGGGGGGCGTCGGCGGCGGCGGCGTCGGGACGGATAAGGGCGGGTGGTGGAGGAGGAGGGTGCCGCCGCAGGTGGGCAGGCGCAATAGACGCGGCCTTGGGATCCACCCTCACTGTCTCTGTTTCTCTCACGGGTGCATCGCCCATCTGCCTTGCAAATGAGCCGCTTATTTATGGGATTTATGAACTTCAAACTTCAACTTCTCTCTCACTGAATGTGTAGTATACACACAACCGCGCACACACACACAAACCGTAATCTCTTTCTCTCATTCTCTACCGATTCCACTTGCATTCGGCAGGGATTTGCATGTTCACCGACTTTCCATCTTACAGACCGAAAACTCCGTAACCCTTTTTCGGTCTCTTTCCGCGAACACTAATCGCGAATTTCGCGATGATGAAGGGGATGATGGAGAAAGCCTCGCCTTTTCGGGACTCTTGGCTCTCGGGGGTTGAGTCTACTCCTCCGATCTGGAACGGGTCGTAATGGCCGCCAATGTCGAGGCCATTTAACTACAAATAGATGTTCTTAACTACTATGATTAGATGGAGTTAGGGATTATAAGACCCTTTCCGGAAGGGTCTCCTTTATAACCCGAGAACGACTTCCAGGGACATTCCGTAGGACATGCAAAATCGTAATCGAATCGTTTATATTTACTCTCAGATTCCGCACCACATTTCACCAAACATTCCCAATCCCTATTCACCACATAAATTGCATTCGACTTACTTCTAATTGCATTTCTTACCCACATGTTTGTATTTCATATATAAGAAATACTCCATCATAACTCTCATTTTTAATATATTACATTTCTATATAAAATAAATATTAAATAGTGTCATATCAATTCTTAGGAAACACAGAGATTGGACGAAATGAATAAAAAACATAAAATCAAAATTACAACCTACCTTAGAAATCATGAATATGGAAGAAGATAAACTGTAAACCTGTATTTAATTAATTAATGCATTCAGTTCTAATCACTACTCTATATTAGACTACTTTATTTGCAAGTGCGCATAAATTCCTACTTTTAACCAGAATCGTCATGTAATTGCAGATGCCTTACTACATATTGAATGTTCATTCTTTGATTGTGTATGCGGTCGAGCTGAATTGGGTATATTGGTATTTCGTGTATTGGGGATGTTCGGGAATTTTTGGACAAGGGGATGATCCGCATTCCTGCGTCGTCCCTCGTTGTACGTTGTCTGTACGGGCGAGTGAGTGTTTAAGGGATGTCCGAGTCGGCCGCAGACCGCGGGTGTTTAGCATTCAAGGGCCGTCTTCACCTTGTATTGATTGCCGCAGCCCCGGTACAGTCCGCACCACTCGGAGAGCCCTAAGCCAAAACTGAACTACATGTCCTTTGGGTCTAAAGCACCAACTAGAATTTTTATTATTTACTAGACTAACAGTACAGATGAGAGAGAAACAGAGATGAAACCATGTAAAATTTTCGATATATGACGTGTTTATATAAAAAAAATACGTAATGATCTAAGAATTCTAGGCAACCAAAAAACAGTTATTAACCTCAAAGTTCACGATTTGACGTTAAGTGACTAGCAAAATGCAATTTTCTTATCAAATTACGTGCGACATTTTATCTCATTTTAAACAAGGAAGAGGTGATAATAATGTATTTGATGCAGCAATCACTAATAGTGATAAAGAAAATGACGAGAGAAAAGACATTGGCATTTCCGAAGATGAATGCGAAATACAGAGAGAGAAACGAATAAGATTAACCGAAGATTACACAAAGAATGTTACAATTTATATGAACAATGCAAGGAAGAGTCAATTTCCAATAGATAAACATTCTTTTGATCTAGATGAAGAAGGTATAAGTATCTTAAAATGTAGAGAACATAAGACGAGCATTACGTGCATTTGCGTATCGTCTAACAACAAATATATATTTTCGGGAAGCAAGGATGGAGCTATAGTTAAATGGTCTTTGGAGAAGAGAAGCAAAGAAGGAAGTTTACCATTTGCCTACAAAGAAGATGGTAAAGAAATTAAAGGTCATTCAAGAGGAATCCTGAGTATAGCTATATCTTCAGATAACAAATATTTAGCAGTCGGCGATGAAACTATGTATATACAAATTTGGGATCCGCAAAAGCTAAAGCACATCCATACATTGAAAGGACACCAAAGCTCTGTAACTGCTATAAAGTTCAAATTAAGGAGTAATACGTTATACTCGGCGAGCAAGGATAAAATTGTTAAAGTCTGGGATTTGGATGAAATGGCTTACGTCGAGAGTGTATTTGGACATACGGATGCGATAACAGCCATCGATGTTCTTAGTGCAGATAGGGTTATAACAGCAGGAGGTCGCGACAATACTTTGAGGATTTGGAAGTTCTGCGAAGAAACCCAATTGATTTACAAAGGACACAACGGGAGTATTGATTGCGTCGTAATCATCGACGAAGGTCATTTCGCATCTGGTGGAGATGACGGACAAATTTGTGTATGGAGAATAGGCAGAAAGAGACCTGTGTATGCGGTGAAAGATGCGCATGGTGTGAATCAGACAAATGGCGAAAGTTTCTGGATAACATCTTTAGCTTCGTTTATTAATAGCGATCTTCTTGCATCAGGATCTGAAGACGGTTACCTGCGTTTGTGGCGTTTGGAAAAAGGATTCAATAATGTGACGATGTTACGTAAAATACAGATTGTTGGAGTTGTCAATGATTTGAAATTCACGAATGATGGAAAATGTTTGTTGGCTGGTGTTGGTAAGGAACATCGGTTTGGTAGGTGGACTGTTAAGAAATCTGCTAAAAATTCAGTTGTTCTAATCCCTGTTCTTCATAATGTTTTGTAAACTATTTAGTTTTATATTATATAAGTAGATATTCCTTTGCCCAGATATATTTATTTATTTTTAAGTTATTTTATTTATTTTAGAGTATTATATATTATATATATTGTTTTCATTTCTTTCAGGGTTTATAGTGTCTTAAAACAGAATATAAGTGTTTCATATAGGAATAAAATTGATGTTTAAATTCTAAGTAATATATATTTTTTTATTTCCTTTTATTAAATGAATGAAACAAAAAAAACATATTTTCACTACTACTTGATTCATTAAGGCTATTATCCTCTTACCGAAAAAAAAGTGTCGGATGAATGCCAATCAAAGTTCAGACACGATTTATACCCATAATAGGGTCACTAATAGAAGAAACGAAGCGGTGAGCATTTTTTTTAAAGCTTATTTTATTTTTTACAATGTGAGTAATGCCATTGAAATGGAGTGCGTGGGGTGGTTGTGTGTGTGTCGTTGCACAGTTGAGTGGGGTAATATATATTTTTTTTTTCATGGGACGTGTTGTATTTTCCTAGGAAACCTTGAAATTTCCTCTCCCGTTAGGTTTAACTTAGTCACCCGGCTCGGGTCCGTTTTTTTTCCTTCTAGCTATATATATATATATACTTTAAACGTTGCCGGAGTTGACAGCTGTCGGCCACAATGTCGCGGTTTTCGACTCTGCCACCCCCCACAAAACCAATTTTTTTATCCGCCACGAAAGAGGGGCTGTTTTTATATATCTATCTATATATATTTGGGGCTGCTGGGGTGGCGGCTCCTTATTAAGATATGACGACTGATTGACAAATTGTACTTTTAACTGTAAAATGATTTGCATGTCATCAGAATAATTCGGATGTTTTGCTCTTTCTTTCTCTCACTCTCCTCTAGCTGTAGTGTTCCACTCCTTTATATCGGGATGCGTGCGTAGGGGGACGGTTGTATTTGCGCTGAAAGAGTCAGCAGGTTTTTGAGTTTTCCAGGACGAAGTCAGGGGCTTTGACAATACGCACTTAAGTGAGTCGGCGGCTCGGGGGCATCATTTACATAACAAGAGGCCGACGCACCGCCGCCAAATTCAACGTGAAACATCCAATAAACGACCCCCACACCCCGCTTCACGTTTCCTTGCCATTCTATCTATCATAGTCCCTCTCTTTTCCTCTCACTACCCTCAGTTTTTGTACAAACGCACGCGTACTCTCTTTGTGTCTCTCGCATTTTCTCTATGACTGTCATTAGTGAGCGCTGCCGCCCCCCGACTCTCCCCCCCTAATTGGTGCGGACATGTGGATATTACAATATCAACACTCGTTCCAAAACCAAATTGGAAAATGCTCCCTTCTCTCGTACTCTCTCTTTTACCCTTGCCTACCATATATATATGGATGTGCTATAGTCGGCTACCCCAAAACCGCATATTACTTAATTACTACAGCGTAGACAATGCACGATTAATGTTATGTGTTTCATGTGGCAGCGCGTGTTCGGAATCACCTCAACGCGTAGTTACATTGCCATTCCATATTCCTCGAAAAACGTTGATTCCACACAGAAAAACTGCCGTTTTCAAGTTGCCACTGGTTAGCACATAATGCTACGATGCGGCACATCAATTTCAATTCAGTATTGATTTCAGATTTCATTCATTTCCACGTTTTCTAAAGTCAGGAAAAACATCTATATTTGTATATTAAATTCAATAGATAATAACAAAAACAAAATTATCAGAAAAATTTCTGTTTCACTTACAAATTTCGAAGAATTTTCTGTTTACTAAAACACTTATTTTTATTTATATAAAGTTAATAGATACTTGTTTTTATGAGTCCTAAAGTAACGAACGAAGTTTAAACAACATAATATCGAAAAGTTTTCGATTGCATATAAAAACACGACATAAAAAAGCTTAAATTCTTTAAATTTTATTTTTTATTACTAATTACTAGTATAAAAATTAATTCCTAAATTATTTAAGTGTTTTGTATTTAAGATTTCTAATAGATTAATTTTAAAGCGTGCCGCTGATCTATCAATAAACGATTCGACCTTTACGTTTTTATCGAGACTAACAATCTTAAAAGGATGACGAAAACGTTATTTTTTTCTAAAGTAACAATATAAGAACATCGTAAGGCTTAAAATTACCTATCGGACACTAAGCTTATTAAATCCTGGAAATTCGGCGATTCCGAGATCCTCTTATCGAGATTTCCAATCTACAGTCTTCAAGAGCTCAAGCAAAATGAGAATGTTGCCGATTTTTTTCCTGATGCCTTCGAGCTATAACTTTATAAAAGAACTATCTTTGTTGAAAATCTTTGGTAGTGATTCATAGTTGTTTTTTTTTTGTATTGATTATTATATTAATACTAATCAACATTTAAAACCAAATGTATTATATTAAGTATATTAGTTATGGTTTGAATATAATAAATTAAGGATTAATTATCTATTATTAGAATATTCACAATGAAGAAAAGCTATTAGTCGTTTAGCAATCATATTTGACAAAACGTAATCATAAATGTATTTCACATTGATTACAAACTCATTCAATTTTTTGTTTAGTAACATATTTATTTTTATTTATAGAGCAAAGATATACCATTAAAACTTTTATATTTTGATAGAGTAAAATTGGTTCTAACACGAATCACATATTGTTTTGTTATAACTATAATATTAATTTAATGAATACTGTTCCCATAACATAATATCGATATAATTGATATTTATGTAGTTCATTTGCATGGTAACTTCATTGATTGAGTGCACCGGCCACCTGTTAAGGATAGACATTTAGGAAGCATATACATAAATTCATGCAATAGTGTTAAGTTAACTTTAGAACAAATGGAATGGATTTATAAAACAAAAATAGATAGTTAAGAAAACGCGTCGTGGGTGTTGAAGATCGGTGAAATTTTGCTAAATAGAGAGACTAATGAAATTAAAATATATTAGATTTTTTGGAATAAACAGTTTTATAAAAGATAGAGGTGATAGAGGGTAAATTTCTATTAAAACAATTTAATTTGTGAAGCTTGTACGTGAAAGTATTTGTAAAGGATTCACTAGTATTTGATGTGAAGATAATGGTTGTTCGAATGAAGTACTTCTTTTTTGGTTGTTGTTGTTTGTTGATGTTAAGTATGGAAGATGTAAATTAACGATGGAGTGTGTTTGAACGGAGACAATAATAAAACATCCCCGTGCTATTGTGAACGTCGCAATCAATAGGTTTTATCGATTAGAGTTCCTAATAACAATAAATTCGTGGTTAATGTGTCGACGTCGGGTTGTAAATTTCCGAAGTCGAAGTCCGGAGACAATGCGAATTAATAAGTAGGCAGTGTGGTCATATATAAATAAATTTCGTTTGCCGCTTGTCGTGGCCGTCGTCGCAGTTGCCTTTTGTCTTGGACTGTTTTCTGGATGCGATCACGTTGGGGGCATTTGGAAGGCGGCCGTCGGGGCCGGAGGAGAGTCGTTTCGAATAGTCATCAATTGTCTGCTGAAGGATTTATGGCCTTCCCCGTGAAAGTTCGCCAGGAATGTTTTATAATTGTACCTGCACCTACTTGACAATGCTGGGCGCATGCCCCATGCATGTCAGACCGAATTACACCATTCTTTAAATGCTGAATTCATTAATGCCCTTTCGGACCGCGGCCTCCCATCGACGGGCCTTCTTTAATTAATAAACGCATTTCTTCTGCGTCGCCCATCTCCCTTTCTGCCCTTCTCACTCAACCTTTGCTTCGCCATTGTTTCTTGGCTTCACCGCTTTATCCCCCCGACATCCCAGCATATCCAACCGATGGTCTTATTTTTTGGGAACCCCACTCCCGGACCCCATAATTTTAAATTATACGACAAAACTTCGCCAACCGTATAATTACCGCGACTATTCTCTTCCTTTTTCTCAAAGGACATTATACTGCGAGGCCATTATACCCCGTTATTACGGCATGCGTCAGGTATTCGACGACGACACAACCAGCAACAACAACAACAACAAACCAAAACGAAGAGAGCGACTAATAAATATGTGAAATTGCTCATGGAATCTCCGGAATGTGGAATCTAACGTAATCATTTCCTGAAAATTATTACCCGTCGTAATGACACACGCCGACGATAGGACGAAAAACGACCTTTTTATTAACGAAAATTGCTAGATTATAATCCACGAAAACCACAAACCTAATTGATTACAGTACTTACGGACTACCCGATCCCGTAACTATTTCATAACCCATGCACTTAAGACGAATATCGTGGCCATGGTTCACGTTCGAAGGATACCGAAATCAAAAAGGAAAAGACAGACTAGAGGAAAACGCCTGGAACTGGTTAAGCTAATGAATATAATTAGCGATTAAACTTTAATCTCGATTATGCTCTACGTCTATTTCTTCTTATATCGCAGGTAAAAATGGAATTGGTAATTATCGTGGATTAATAATTTCATTATCAGCGGCAATAATTGCGGTTCGCGGATTGCGTAAGTGCGGGTTATTCAGCTTGAAAAATGCGAAATCGATTTCATAAATTATATTACTCGACCTCGCTGGAACAATTATTGAAACGTTAGATTCTGAACACCGATTTCATGCAATATTAAACACATCAAAATGCTTTAATTTTATCCCCTATCAACACAAAATATTATTTGTTTAGCTATTAGAAGTCAAATTTAAAATCACGTTTAGCAAATATCACAATATTAGCTAAATTAATAGTAATTGTATACTACTCATCCTTACAAGCTGAGGACAATAGTCATCCATACATGTACTAACTTCCAAATACGTTACTTAACTATTGCAGAAAATAGCTTTTTTTTAAATCAATACACACTGTATTTAATTTTGTCTAATTAATCCCTGTCCTAATACTAAATATTACCTATTTTTATTAAAAAGATTGTCCACGATTTCATAATTAGTAGTATCAATTTTGGATTCCATAAAATAAAAAGAAAATACGTTAAATCGAGATCC